TATTTGTCTATATGGTAGAGAGAAAAATGACTTTCGTCTCACTATTTAGATTTCCTAACTTACCCTTTTTTACATAGTAGAAATATAATAGATCTCTTAATCACTAAATTCATAGATAGCCATTAATTTTCTTTTTATGCCAGCCATCAATTTTCTTTTTATGCATAATCATCAAATTATCGGTATTATCTATCTATCTTTCTATATTATAAAGTCAAAACACCCTTTATCTTACTTTCGAAGTGTCGATAATGTCCATAACACTTCTTTCTAATAACTAGAAAAGCGAGGGACGCTACTGTCATCACATGTGTTTAACATGTACTTTGGACAGTTAACTTTTTTTTTTGTACCTCCTTTTTACACCTACACGATTCTCATACCACTAAATTAATTTAACGTAAATGAATTATAGTATTATTGTAAAAGTAATATCACACATGGATGGACATTGCTGACATGGACGCCGGCCGGTTTACGTGGCACTGCTGACGCTTACGTGGATAGTTTTTAATAATATTTTCATATTTTTTTTAAATTTATTATTATTTTTTCTTTTTTCTTCTTTATTTCCCTTTTTTCTTCCTTTTGCCGATGACCGGCCATAGTTTATGGTTGAGCGAGTTAGCCTCACTTGTGCGAGGGTCGCTATCACTTGCCACAAGCGATGGCTCCCCTCGGCGAGGATCAGCCTAGCCCAAGCTAGATCTGGCAAGGGGAGCCCTTGCCTAGTCGGGGCTTGCCTATGGCAGGCAATGTCGACCCTTGACTAGGTGAGGCAAGCCCACCAGGCCATGGCTAGTGGCCAGTCACCGGCCAAAGGAAGAAGAAACGAAAAAGAAAGAAAAAATCAAAAAAATCAAAAAAATAATAAAAAATAAAATATTCTTAAAAATTGTCCACGTCAACGCCGTGCGGTACCACATAGGTTAGCTGGCGTCCACATTATTATATCCAGGAAAAATTAGCGGGAAGAACTGAATTGACACAATGCTAAAAAGTTTAAGACTAAATTAGCATAAATACAATAGATTTATGACTTTTCTGACACTTTTCTCGGAAAGCAACCGTCGTCTCACTTTTAGAATGTCTATCCTACCCTTTGTCCATTTTTTAATCACTTACAAACTTATAGAGAAAATGGAGTTCCTCGACTAATCTAAGCACCGGCTTACGTGCCCGTACCATACAACTCTATATATAACTTCTCTCTTTTGCATTGAAGATCAATGAGAGAGCATCATGGAGGATGAGCATTCTAAATGACGTCATCTATTTGAGATAACTTGTAATTTTGCCCTCATATTTTCGAAAATTTTACGGCTCTCATGGCGTGACCTTCACTAATATCGAAATGAGAGCAAAGTAGCACTAAATTGGGAAAGTCTTTTATGTAATATTTATATCAAGCGACGGGTTATCATTTTGTTATCCACCGTATTAAGTACCATCATCCATCTTGATTCTTAAATATGCATCGAAGATAAGGATACATGATCAGACAAATGACTTCATGTCGACACGGCTGAGTTGATTAAAAAATTTACTAATCTAACTTTCTCCTGAATTGGAATTTAAAGAGCAAACGGCACTTTCTCTTAAAAAAGAACGATTTTTGGGGGGGACATCTTTGCATAGAGTCCAAGTCGTAATGATTGGAGCATGAGCTGTGAACTCGCAAACACGTCATTCAAAGAAGGTGGAGGGAAAGAGATTTTTCTAATCATTGTCCAATTGAATGACCTCTTTTGTTACATTGCAAACCCCAATTAGGGGAAGGGAAGCCCACTCGACATAATAAAGTTAAAAGAGCTCGCTGTGCTTTTGATCCCCAATTCGAACTTAGTCGTGATTTTGATATATGCCCACCATAGTCGATTAGACAATTGAAAGGTCGAACTACATGATTTGATACCATCATGGGAAGGGAGAGAGACTCAGAAGATTCTCTCGTGCTTCATTCATCAATAGGATCGGCAGATGTCGACCATGGTTCAAAAATCTTGTTTTTAGGTCCCACTGTATTCCGGGTGAATAATATTTTCTTTTTCGTATGATAAAAAGTAATTTTGATATGATAAGAAAGTAGAACAAGAATGTACAAAAGCCTAACACGTTTGACATATTTAAGAAATGTCTTTTTATAATACAAGTGGGGAGAAAAATGAAGAATGCGCGCATGCGTTGGTGTCCGGAAAAAAGCATGGTGCGAGTGAAATTCTAATTTGATTCATTTTTTCAGAGCAAATATGCACACGCAATACATGTGCGCAAGAAATCGACATTCAAAACGTTAAGCGAAATCATTATATCGCGAAATGTTTGAATCGTTGAGTAATTAAAAGAAATTAGTGATAGACATGCGAAATGAAAAAAAGAATCGTATAAAACTATTTAGAAATTTGTTTGGCAGAATTGTTGTAGGATAAAAAATATCCAAGCTTTAATATTGGATTATGTGAGGGGTAATATAAAACTTTATGTTTATGCATTCGTTCATGTACCAATTATTTGCAAATAAATAATTAAGGATAGTTAGGGAAAGAAAAAAGAAACTACTGAAATCCCTTAAAATAAGAGCTTTTGTTTAATATAATAATATAGATAATCAGAATGTAGATTCTGTGGTCCCTAGCGTGGCAATTAGAAGATCCTGTTTTCATTAGTAAAGCAATACCTGCCATGCCAAATTTCTGTTCTTGGTCTTTTCTTGCAAAAAACAAGAGCCAATCTCAAGGACAACCCATATTGATTAAGGCTCACCACTAACTCCACTACACCTCAGGAAGCATAGACTTGAATTAGTATCCCAGTGAACCAACTTTCTAGATTAACCTCCATTTAGATAGCTTATAGGTTGATGATTACTCGATTACAGTAGAATAGGAAGACTACCGTGACTCGATGAGATTAGTATGGTATTTAGAGGTCTAGGGTTTTCATGGATGGCACACTCGTAGACGACGGGTTTATGAAAAGAATTTATCCAAGCAGCGTGGTAGTAGTCACCATTGTATGCGAAATATTATATAACGCACAATGCATTGGGCAATTTAGGGTTTGTCCAAACATTCATCTAATGCTTTGCCGCAGCCTAGTTGGGGCCATGATCTGCGGGCATAAAGGTCGTGATCTTCGGCGACTCGATGATATTGGGGTATTTGATAATTGATGTGGTAAACATGGTTAATTAATTCATAACATTGGTAAAGTGGGTACAAGTTTGCATTTATAGTACCGACTCATTCTTTCTGCTCTCATGATGTGATGAAGCCCAATGCCACTCATGGGCTTTGTCGGCAATGCAGCCCACTTGCCATGCCCACGCCAAATTTTATGTTTCTTTGGTAATAACCATACTCAGCCTCTACATTGTATCAACCATTTCAATTATTTACATTAAAAATCGAAAAATAATTACATGAAGTTGTTTAATGTCACCAGAACTATACATATATACCACCCGCCTGGGTGGCGCTGCTGGAGCGCGCATTCTTCCTCTCGCAAAAGGTTGAGTGTTCGAATCCCGGGCGCCGTAGGGTGACTTAACCGGTGGCACGTGTGTGGTGGCTAGCACGTGTCGCCCCCAGGGTTTACTCCCCCGGCTATCGGCCGTGCGGGGGTTCCCTGGGTTACCAAAAAAAAAAAAAACTATACATATATTTGTCAACAACCTATGTAATGCGGATCAAGAGAATAGTAGAAGACAATTAATGCAAAATTCCAACTGCAGAAGCAAATAGAAATTGTTAAAAGATACTGACCATGATCTAAGATAACTATGTCCCCTCAATCAGGAACTGCATGATCCGTCGTGCAACAGCAACAACTATACAGTCAATGTAATGTTGGAGTTGGCGAATACTTCGAGGACCCTTGTTTCTCATACCGGGTACGCCCACGTGAGCTTAGGGAAACTGAAATGTTATCCGACGACATGTAACCCCCGCGTGCGGAATGCGGGGGTTCGAGGGCAGTGCCCCTGATACGGGTGCCCCGCTACCCTATCAGCGGGCGGGGGTTCATGGGCAGCGCCCCCCGACGGGGGTTCCGCTGCCACGATCGCCGATGAGCAGGCGGGGGCTCGGGGGCAGCGCCCCCGAAACCTCAACGGGTTTGGGCTTTTATATAAGCTGGCCCGTATGGTGCGAGATTAAAAGATTTCGTATAGGTTTAGGTTTTGGGCCCGTTTGAGGCACATATATATTTTGCTTGTTTTTTTTTTTTATCATTGTAACGAGTTGAGTGGCTGTAAACCGAAAATATAGTGAAATCTCTTTGCAGAACGTAGCCCTATTCGAGGGTGAACCTGGGTAAATTCGTGCATCGTCTATTTTTCTCTGATTTCTGCGTGATCGTTCTGTGTTCGGTTCTCGATACATCCCTTCATGTAAGCATTGCTCTAAGAGTTTGCTAATTCATATTGTTGGAAATTGCATGCACACGGGATTTAGACGCAATCAATGAAGATACAATTTTTCCATAATCACGGTCTCGAAATTTTGTGTTCATTTCTTAATCTTTGTCGATCAACTTGTTCCCAGACGAATTGCAGACAATTGGAGTTCAAGCACGTCTCCTGCTGATGTTAACAAGAGAATTTTGAGCGAGTGTAAGTCAAGCAATCACTTCTGAAGTTGGCTCGACGGGATAGAAAAAGCAAAACATGCTCTTGCTTTTTTTCTAATTTGTCAGCAATGCATAGAGATTGTTTCAATAGGGACAAAAATACGCAAAACTTTACAAAGAAGGCCATGAGCGCAGGCGTATAATGCCAGTAGCACTGTGAGTTTGATATGTCATTATGCTTTTGATTTATCAACGATGCCAAAGACTTTATACATTCACGATCCGAATTAATAAGTTTCCCATTTAATAAGTTTAAATGTTTGCGTTCCAACAATAAAATTTAGGCATTCTGCTAGCCAAGGATTTCAAAGTCTTGCAAACGAGGAAAAATCAGATCTCACTTTGTGTAATTGGATGAGACTACACTTGAATGATAAAAAGACCAAAATAATAAGCATATAATTTGCCTCATGGCAGTTCAACAGACTTATTCATCATCTTACAATGCAAAAAATGAACGGTCGAGATTCTCATATTTGACAAGATCTACGAGCATTGCTCCTCCACTTCTTTCTCATATTAGCTCCTTTCCTTTCAAGCAATCCCCCGACCCATTCAAATTTTCTGGATTCGAGAACAATGTATCCTAGAGAGACTCCAGCTACGATTCCAGACCCATAACTCATCAATATGGCTCTCCACTGTCGCGACCTCCCCGAACCGGCCCCGGCCGCCTAAGGGATTTGGCTAATGGATTACTAAGTTAAACCTAGCTCGAGCTATCCCAAGCCCATACCAATTCGCGACTTAAGTTTAAGTTGTTAACATGCAAATCAATTTCATCTAGAAGTCGCCACTAATCGATTTTTGGTGGGTCGATTATACACCCAAGTAAAGCACGGGAGAAATGCTTTACTTTTACGAACCAGAGATTCAATGGGTACGGGGACTTGATTACACTAATTAATTAATTAGTGCCCTTTCGGTACCTAATCTTGCTCAATTCACCACCTAACGTGCCCACACTAATTGGGAGTTTCAAAAATTCATTCCTAACCAAGTTAGGGGAAGCAACAATCACTACATGAATCTAACATGCATAATCAACCACATGCGATGTTAAATTAAACGCACCGTTCAAAGGGTGTGAACCAAGCAACGTGCGATCGAATATGACACTAATCACACAATAGGGCCAGAAAAACCAATTCCAAAGTTGAAATAAATATTCTGATTTTTCGAATTTTATTTTATTTTTTTTAAATTTTTAATATAAAAAAATTTTAAAATGTTTTTAAAAAAAATATATTTTTTAATATTAAAATAATATAAAACAGACCGGGTCGGACCTCCACATCCGACCCAGATAAAATGTTTTTTTTTTCAAATGATAATTTTTTAAATTTTTTAATATTAAAATAATAAAATAATATAAAATCGGGTCCAGGTCGGATCTCCACATCCGACCCGGATTGAGACTAATCCGGACGTGCCGGCTCGGGTCCACGATCGAACCGGGCTCATATATTGAGCCCGGTCTGAATTTTTTTTTAAAAGGAAAGGGCCCAGCCCGAAATTTTTTATTTTTTTAGCAAAACAAATAAAGGCCCAAAGCCCACTAGACATAAAAAGACCAAAAGAACAATTTAGCCCATTTCCCGAACTCGACCCATGCGCAAAAGGCCCAAAACCTAATAAAACCCACTAATAACTAAAAGGCCCAAAATATTAAAACACCAAATAAGCATAAAATCGGCCCAAATATTAACAAAAACCCTACCCGAATGCGACCCGTTCACCCGACCCGGTCACTGACCGCCGACCCGACTCGACGAAACCCTACCCAGTTCTGACCCGCGATCCGACCCGGACGCGCGTCGCCCTACCCGGTTTGCGGCCGCCCCACCACGCCCCGGGACTCGCCTGCACACCGGCCACTGCTCCGACGTGGAGCGCACGTTTGGCCATCGCCACACGCCGGCCGGCGTGGACACCGGCTTCCCCGAGCCCCGACCTCCACGGCCGGGGTCACTAGTCCGGCAGCCGAGCCGACCAGCCGCGTCACCGCCATGGCAACCGGCGACCGTCCGGGACTGTCCAAGCCTCGGCGAGAGGCTGATCAGTCACGGACTAGCCAGATCCTGGCAAGGGACTGGCTCTGCACGTCTTCCCGCGGTCACGCCCGAACCGCCATGGCCACCGGCGGTATGCCGAGACCGTCTGACATTCCCAACAAAGCAGCAAAACAGAGAAAAACCCAAGAAGTTTGGTTTGGGCAAAACGTCGAACAGTCGGTGTGCGCGACGAAAACGAGGGATTTTAGACCTGATCGAGGCTCAAACGCAACCAAAATTCACACAAAACAATACACAGACAAGCAGGCCCGAGGTGTCACTGGCCGGAACTCGCGCGAGCCGGACGGCCGCGAGCTCCGGCCAGTGGACCCGAGAACAGAAGCAAAAACAGGGGAGGGGGTGCCGTTGCGGCGCTCCCTATCCGGCTTGGGGGGCGGCGAACGACGGCGAACTTGATGGATCGGACTACGTCCGGTCGCCTTGCACGCCCCCAAGCCGGAATCCTCGGGAAATTACCCCGAATCAAACCGAACAAGAAAACCCGACAGAGCTCGGAGCCGGGACCTACCACGAGAATCGTCGGAGCTTCGCCGGCCGCGGTTGAGGCGCAACGGTCGTCGACGGGAGCCCGTTCGGCCTCGAATTTCTCTCGCCAACGCTCTCGGCCTCAACCTCTCCCTCGGATCTCTCCCGATTTCTGTTCTCTCCGGACCCCCCTTCTCTGTTCTGTGCCCCCCTGGCTTTAAGGACAGCCAGGGGCGCGAAGCCGGCCAGCAGGCGCGCATGGCCCTGCCACCGCCAGCCTGCCGCGGCCGGCCTGCTCCCGACCCGAAGATCGTGCCGGCGTCCCCCGTGCCCCTCTGGCCTCTGTGCTCTGTGGCTGTGGCGTTCTGCCACTGCTCCCGTCTTCTCCCCCCGTACGCTCAGAAATGTTGACTGGGGGGAGGTTTGAACAGTGCGCGGGCCGGGCCGTGGGAAATGGGCCGGCCCGGGCGAAAATAGAAAAGGGAGCATGGGCCGCGCGCAATAAAAGAAAAACAGGGGGAAAAAGAATGGGTCGACGAACCTGGCCCCGAAATCGTTTTTTTTATTTTTAATATATGAATATGCCATATTAATGCAAATGCGCCTAATGTCTATATGCCATGGAATTTAATGAAAATGTTTTCGGCTTAGGGGTTAAAAATTAGACCCTAATTTTTATGCGATAAAACACTAAATGATTTGGGCAAAATTTAGGTGTCAACAGTTGCCCCTCTTTGAAGGGGAGCTCGAAGAGGTTCCTTTCAAAGATAAGAGACGCCTAAATTTTGTTGACGGAGGGCACGGGATGATGCAATGCAAGGAAGAGGAGAGAGAAAATAAAATAAAATCTAAATAAACGAAAAGCATAGTTTAAAGAAAAATGTGGTTTAAGGTTGGACCACAAACCTTTTGAAAAGCGTGGTTTAAGGTTGGACCACAAACCTCTGGGAAACGTGGTTTAAGGTTGGACCACAAACCTCTGGGAAACGTGGTTTAAGGTTGGACCACAAACCTTTGAGAAACGTGGTTTAAGCTTGGACCACAAACCTTTTGGAAAGCGTGGTTTAAGGTTGGACCACAAACCTTTGCGAAACGTGATTTAAGGTTGGACCACAAACCTTTTGGAAAGCGTGGTTTAAGGTTGGACCACAAACCTTTGGGAAACGTGGTTTAAGGTTGGACCACAAACCTTTGGGAAACGTGGTTTAAGGTTGGACCACAAACCTTTTGAAAAACGTGATTTAAGGTTGGACCACAAACCTTTGGAAAACGTGGTTTAAGGTTGGACCACAAACCTTTGATATGTACCTGGGTTTACATACCTGTAGGTTGGATCGGATTGCTCAGAGGCCCTTTGCCAGCGAGGCTTGAAAAGATTCAGTGAATGAGCATTCGGGGTTCTTCACCCGAGAATTTGATAGATTGTGCCTAAGTTTCTCACGAAGGACTTGAGGTGCCTAAGTTTCTCTCAAAGGATTTGACATAAGGAGCATGGCTTAGGGACATACCTGTGAAGGCCTCATTTTTCTTTTTTTCTTTTTTTTTTCTCTTCTCTTTTTCTTTTTTATTTTTTTATTTATTTAAAAGAGGGTAAAAATACTTACCTGATGTTTACAAGAGAAATAAAGGAAACTCCGGGCTGCAAAAGCTCACCGTGCAAGGAAGAAGACTCTGGGCTGCGAAAGCTCGCCAGGTCGAAGGGGTGCTCCGGGCTGTAGAAGCTCATCGTGCAAAGAAAAAGACTCTGGGCTACGAAGGCTCGCCAGGTCAATAGGGTGCTCCGGGCTGCAAAAGCTCACAGTGCAAAAAAAAAGACTCTAGGCTGCGAAAGCTCGCCAGGTCAATAGGGTGCTCCGGGCTGCAAAAGCTCACCGTGCAATTCTGAGGCTGTAAACCTATCAATCAAGAAGATTTCGAAATGGCCACTGCACATCTAACGGAATATGTTATAATAGATGCCCTGGTAGGGAAAACATACCAGGCGAGATTGATATCATTCAGACGCCATGAAGGACACGATCAAAGGAATAGTATCACTGACAAAGTGTTGATTGCATGAGCAAATCGAACTAGTTTCAAACATTTAGCATCATTCAATATCACAAAATTGCCATTAGGTTTGATAAATGTCATTAATCATCAAATTCTCTTAGGAGATAAACCTTTGTCAGAAAGACCTTGGCTCATGGAAAGGGTTAGTTAAATATACCAAACAAGAGTTCCTTAGTCAGAAAGGGCTTCTTGCAAGCTCTCAGAGAAGGTTGTTTACTCCCATCCATTGATGCGGGAAATAGGCATGTTCTCTCTATATACCTCACACTATCAGTGTCAAAGGCTTCGAGAATCATTCGCAATAAGTATACACTGAGCAATCCAAGAGGTCTTTTAAGGACTGTAATGCAGGTTTGGTCATGATTTCAACAAAGGATAAGCATTATCGGCTAAGAAATGAAATAATTGTGGATTAGCATCTCCGCCAAGTTTACAAGTCAAGAAACCTTAAGATGAGATAAGATAACCTTGCCCCCACTTCTTCAAGCGACAGCTTCTTTGTAAAGTCCTTATTTTCACTTGAATCATCCCAATCCGAAGAGACTTTGGGAAATGGTTGTAATATTGGTTCGGTGAAAATTTCGAAAGGCTCAGAAATTCTCAAATGGGATTTAGGAGTTGGTGATTACCATGGCATCATTACCATATCATCCAATCTTTTTGAAGGTACTCGACTTTTGAAATCCAACTTGTCTCGAAAGTCCATTGACTAATCATTTTAATGTAAGGGCTTTACTCTTTTCTCTAATGACTTTTGCGTTTGCAATGATTTTTTGCAAGCATTTTACTTTTGACATCCCCCCCCCCCCCTTTTTTTTTTGAGATTTTTTCTCTTGATGCAACTTTTTTTTTCTCTTTTTTTTTAATGGGCATTGGCCTTGCTTTTACTAGGTACACTGCTTTTTCATGCCCCCTAGTTTTCATTTGACTTTTGCTCTTTTGATTTTTTTTTTGAACTTTTAGGACTTTCGAGATGTTTTTCACATTGTCTCACGAGTATCCATTGTCTTGATAAATCACATGCTTTGTCCCAATATAGGGAGA